TTTTTTGTCTTTTTAAAAAATTATTTATTTTTTATTATTGTTCAATTACAGTTCTCTCCATTTCACCACACCACACCCTCCCACCCTTGAACCTACCCCCTTTGGCTTTTTCCATGTGTCCTTTATACTAATTCCTTGATGGCCCTTCCTCTTCAGTTAAGAAATCACCACTGGTTTCCTCATTTAGCAAGAGGAAACTAATTATATGATGAGGTTGAAGATTTCTTTTTTGTGTTAGTTGACACTTTTGGTCTTAATCTTTGTTATATATCTGACATTTATATACGTTCTATGTGCCAGGCACCAGATGAGTATCTGAAATGACAATGGTGAACAAGAACAGTTGTAACTGCTAACCCCCAAGTGAAAATAAAATTGCCAACATGAGAGGCACTTTAAGGAATGGTACAAGATGCTCAGACTGTGGGCCTCACACACTCAGTTCCTCCTGACCCCAATTATCTGTTTTCTATCTCACTGGTCTCTGAAACCCCTTCTGTTACTAACCCAAGTGCAACTGCAAATTCTATTCTCTTAGCCCCAAATGCTTGACCTGTTAACATTTCTTCTAATTCACAATTACCCATCTTTCCCCCCACAGCACAAACATTCATATTTCAGAGAAGAGTTTTCGACTCACCTCCCAAGACTAAATGGGTCCTCAATGATTTTTTTCTCTCCTTAATTAATTAGCATTCTCTAGACATTAGTAATAGTGAAACTTTTTTTACCATTGAGAGTGTAAACATTTATTTACTTTCTTTTATAAATTAAATTTATTGGGATAACATTGTTTATAACGTTATATAAGTTTTAGGTGTACAAATTTATAATATATCATCTGCATATTGCATTGTGTGCTCACCACCCAAAGTCTAGTCTCTTTCCATCACCATATATTTGACCCCTTTTACTTTCCTTATCCCCCACCCAACTTCCTTCCCCTCTAGTAACCACCACACTGTTGTCTATGTCTACAGGTTGTTTTGTTTGCATATTTGTTGATTACAGTTTTATATTCCACACATGAGTGAAGTCATATGGTTCTTATCCTTTTCCATAGGATTTATTTCACTTGGCATGATTACTCTCAAGATCCATCCATTTAGTCACAAATGGTAGTATTTTGTTTTATTAATGACTGAGTAGTATTCCACAGTATATATGTAACACATCTTTTATAAATATATTTTATTGATTATGCTATTATTTCCCCCTCCACTCCCCTCTGACCTGCACACCCCCTCCTATCCACATTCCCCCAGCTTTAGTTCATGTCCATTGGACATACATATAAGTTCTTTAGCTCCTACATTTCCTATAGTATTCTTACCCTCCCCCTTTCTAGTTTTCTACCTACCATCTATGCTATTTATTCTCTGTACCTTCCCCCCACTCTCTTCCTCCCACTCCCCTGTTGATAACCTTTTCTGTGATCTCCATTTCTGTGTTTCTGTTAAAGTCCTAGTTGTTTGCTTAGTTTGCTTTTGTTTTTGTTTTAGGTGTGGTTGTTAATTATTGTGAGTTTGTTGCCCTTTAACTGTTCATATTTTTATCTTCTTTTTCTTTGATAAATCACTTTAATATTTCATGTAATAAAGGCTTGGTGATGATGAACTCCTTTAACTTGACCTTATCTGAGATTCTATTCTAAAAGAGAGCTTTGCTGGATAGAGCAATCTTGGATGTAGGTCCTTGCCTTTAATGACTTGGAATATTTCTTTCCAGCCCCTTCTTGCCTGTGAGGTCTCTTTTGAGAAATCAGCTGACAGTCTTATAGGAACTCCTTTGTAGGTGACTGTCTCCTTTTCTCTTGCTGCTTCTAAGATTCTCTCCTTATCTTTAATTTTGGGTAATGTAATTATGAGATGCCTTGGTGTGTGCTTGGGTCCAACTTCATTGGGACTCTCTGAGCTTTCTGGACTTCCTGGAAGTCTATTTCCTTCACTAGATTTGGGAAGTTCTTCTTCATTATTTGTTCAAATAAGTTTTCTTCTTCTTGCTTTTCTTCTTCTTCTTCTGGTATCCCAATAATCCTGGTGTTAGAACATTTAAAGATGTTCTGGAGGTTCCTAATCCTCTTCTCATTCTTTTGAATTCTTGTTTCTTCATTCTTTTCTGGTTGGATGCTTCTTTCTTCCTTCTGCTCCAAATCATTGATTTAATTCCTGGTTTCCTTCCCATCTCTATGGTTCCCTGTACATTTTCCTTTATTTCACTTAGCATAGCCTTCATTTTTTCCTCTAATTTGTGATTAAATTCAACTAATTCTCTGAGCACCCTGATTACCAGGGTTTTGAATTGTGTATCTGATAGGTTGGCTACCTTTTCATCATTTAGTTATATTTTTTCTGGAGCTTTGAACTGTTCTTTGATCTGTTTTTTTTGTGTGTGTGTGTGTCTTGTGTGCCTATTATGTAGTGAGGAGCAGAGCCTTAGGTGTTCACCAGGGTGGGGTAACCCACTTCAGTGTGTTGTGATGCTGTATGTGGGGAAAGGGTCCAAGAGAAAACAGTGTCATTTGCTCTGCTCTCTGCCAAATTTCTGTCACTTCCCCCATTCCCCACAAGCAAATTGGGCCATTCTGGTGCTGATTCTTGGGTGGGTTGGCCTGTGTTCACTCTAGGATACTGCAGATCTCTCCAGTGAACTCTCCTGTTGAGCTGGGAGTCTCTCCCGCTGCTCCAACCCTCATAGGTGTTTTCAATCAGTGGTTTGAGGCTTTATTTCTGTGCATTGTGGCCCTGGGTTGCACATTCCATCCCACTCCCCAGTTGTTCCTCCCAGTTTATCACCACCCAGTCCACAACCCACCACCTCACAAGGTCCACCCGCTGCTGCCTTGCCAGTCAGCTGTAGCCTCGTGTACCCCACTCCACAATCCACCACCTTACTGGGTCAGCCAGCTGCTGCCCTGCCGATAGGGCATGGCTGGCCATCTCCCCTCCTACCAGCGTGGACGAATGTGTCTACTTTAACTCCTTGGTTGTCGGGCTTCCCTACAGTTCAATGTTGCCAGTCCTGGTTGTTTTTTGTTTTGAAATTGTTGTTTTTCTGCTTTTGGTTGTGCAAGGAGGCACAGTGTGTCTGTCACCTACACTTCCATCTTGGCCAAAAGTCTATACACATACCACATCTTTATCCAATCATCCATCAAAGAACACTTAGGTTGTTTCCATGTCTTGGTTATTGTGAATAATGCTGCAATAAACATAAAGGTACATACATATGTCTTCATGAATACATGTTTTCAAATATCAGGTAGATACCCAGAAGAAGAATTGCTGGGCAACGTGCTAGCTCTCTTCTTAATATTCTGAGGAACTTCCATGCTGTTTTCCATAGAGGCTGACCAACTTTCTTTCCCTCAAGGGTATCTATTTCTCCACATCCTCTCCAACACGTCTTTCTTGTTAATAATCATAGTCATTCTAACAGATATGAGATGGTCTCTCATTGTGATTTTGACTTGAATTTCTCCTATAGTTAGTGATGTTGAGCAACTTTTCATATGCCTATTGGCAATCTGCATGTCTTCTTGGGAAAAGTGTGCAGGTTCTCTGCCCTTTTTTAATTAAACTGTTTTCTTGTTGTTGTTGAGTTATATGAGTTCTTTACACATTTTGGATATTAGCTCATTATCAAAGGTGTTGTTTGCAAATATCTTCCCCCATTTGGCTGGTTGCCTTTTCATTTTCAAATCTGAAATTTGCCTTTCAACTTTTAGGATGAGTTCATGTATAGACACTCCAAATATTTTTAAATGAAGCCTATTAATTTTTCAACTCATGCTACTGATTTTAGTACCACACATCATTCCTTGAGAGCATGCTCACATGAGCACATGCACTCACCCATGCTTTTAATGCTAGTGTGCTTTTGTTCCCATCTTTCACCCTATTATCTTTGTAGTCCATATACATCTTTCTTTTCTTGGAAGAATCGACTTGGCAGGAAGTCTTTGAAAGAGAGAACCATAAGGATCTCAATTAACTAGGAGTGCTGCATAGTAATAAAAAGATAATACACTCGCTGTGTTCATAATGATGTCTGCCCCAGGTTGAGAGGAACACTCATACTGACAGCCATGCAAGACAGATTTGTTGTGATATTAACAACAGTTTGTTTTTTCAAGTGTTCACTGTATGTCACAAAAACTACACTACAAAAATTATATGAATCATCTTATTGAATCACCAATCTATCCTACAATGTAGGGAATAGTTACTGCTAGCATTGTGGAGGTGAGGTAGTTGCAGCTGAAAGAGATTATATAACTTTGTCAAGGTCACAGAGATAGAACATGGCAGAACGAATTCTATTCCAGGAGGTCGGACCAGATCCTGTTTTCTAAATCACAGCTCTATTATACTGTACTTTGGAAGAGTTATATATCAAAAATAATTGTAATAAAAAGAATATATTGATAATGTTCATGATGATAGCTATAATTTATTGAGATCATACTCTCAATAAAGACATTATGAGACAAATCATCTGTGATTAAAGACGTTTATAGACTTCACAAAGATGGCAAGAGCAGTAACCACATTTGTAGAAACAAACACAATAAGACACATGGAGAGTTAACTGAGGCATCAATGTAGAGTACCAGATCACAAGAGTAAGTTTGTTTGAGCTGCAAACACACATTTTAATCACTATTCTGAAGTCACAGAACTATGGAGGTTATCAAAGTAAACACCTTAAATGTCCTTAGTTATTTTGAAAAGCTAATATGAAAAAAGAAATTGGTTTATGTCCATAGATTCAGATAAGAGTAAAAGATAAAAAAAGAGAAAGATTTCTGCCAAATTAAAGAAAACTGAGAAATTACAGAATTTAAAATGATATTATTCACTTAAATAAGTGGATCACTGGCATTGGAATGACTACTAGATCATGAAAGATGTCTGCACAAAGGTGGATCAAAAGGTGATGGTGAGCTGATGTGCCATTTGGCTGCTTTTGCCTCCTTCTCCAGCAGACACACCAGCAGCATGGAAGTAGGAAACCACACAGAAGTATCAGAATTCCTCCTCATGGGTCTCTCAGAGGATCCTGAACTGCAGCCCTTCCTCTTTGGAGTGTTTCTCTCCATGTACCTTGTCACCGTTCTTGGGAACCTGCTCATCATGCTGGCTGTCAGCTCTGACTCCCACCTCCACACCCCCATGTACTTCTTCCTCTCCAAACTGTCCTTTGTTGACATCTGCTTCACCTCCACCACCATCCCGAACATGCTGGTGAACATCCAGACACAGAGCAAGGCCATCTCCTACAATGGATGCCTCATTCAAGTGTATTTTTTTACAGTTTTTATTGGAATGGACAACTTCCTCCTGACCGTGATGGCCTATGACCGGTATGTGGCCATCTGCCACCCCCCTGCACTACATGGTCATCATGAAGCCACACCTGTGTGTCCTGCTGGTTCTGTTGTGTTGGTTCGTCATGTCCTGGGTCTCCCTGGTTCATATCCTACTAATGAGGAGGCTGACCTTTTGTGCAGGAACTGAAATTCCACATTTCTTCTGTGAACTGACCCAGATTCTCAAGGTAGCCTGCTCAGACACCTTCATCAATAATGTCTTCATGTTTGTGTTTGTTGCCCTACTGGGTGTGATTCCTGTCACTGGAATTCTCTATTCTTATGCTCAGATTGTCTCCTCATTAATGACAATGTCCTCTGCAGGGGGGAAATATAAAGCATTTTCTACCTGTGGGTCTCACCTCACTGTGGTCTCCTTGTTCTATGGGACAGCACTAGGGGTCTATCTCAGTTCTGCTGTGACTCATTCTTCCCTGCAAAACTCAGTGGTCTCAGTGATGTACACTGTGGTCACCCCCATGCTGAACCCCTTCATCTACAGCCTGAGGAACACGGATATGAAGGGGGCTCTGAGAAGGCTCCCAGAACTAGGTGTACAATGTGTGTCCCAAAGGTAAATGCTGCAAATTTAAGTATTCTGGTTCTTTTTCTTCCTCAAAAGACATTATTGAGTTCTTCTGTTTCTAAAGCACAGAGGATTTCTTTGGTTTTATAATAGTTTCTTCTCAACAACTCCCTGAGAAACATCCTTTTTACTTTTCTTCCCTACATGGTGTCCACAATGCTCAATGTTTGGCCAGCATCCTGCAGCTATTCTTAAGATTTCTATGTTTAAATTTAAAGCACTTGTCATATCAAGTGCTGACAGTTTCCCAAAAAGTTTTCTTCATGCGTTGTTGACCTTCACCTTAATTTGGCTCTACTCTGTTTTTTTTTTTCCCAGAAGAAATGGAGTGAAAAGCATAGAGTAACAGAACAAAGTGCCTACAATATCAGGATCCTATATGATTCTTCATATGAATGACTTAATTTCATGTTAAAAACATTTCTTTCAGATATTTTCTCTCCGTCAGGTGCTTCTGTGTTGAGTGTATAACTGCTTTCAAAGATTATATTCTCTGGGTAGGCTGCTCCATTTATCATTATGTAGTGTCTTTCTTTGTCTCTCACTGTAGCCTCTGTTTTGAAATGCAGAATGAGGGTCATTGGGCCTCTCCAGGATTTGTTGTTCAGTGTCCTAAAACAATGTTTACTCAACATCTGATCCTGTGCATGCTGTTGAAAGTAGATCCCCAGGATCCAACAATTCAATGACAGGTATATACCCAAAAGAATTAGAAGGATAAATGCAAATAGATGCTTGCAGACCAATTTCATAGCAGCAATAGCCAAACTATAAATACAATTCAAGTATTCATCAACAGAGGAATGGGAAAGCAAAATGAAATGTATATGCAATGGAATATTGGGCAGCCTTTTTAAAGGAATGAAATTCTGATATATGTGCAACATCATTGAAACTTGAAAACATTATGCTAAGTGAGATGAGCCAGACACAAAAACATAAGTATTGTATGAATACACTTACAAGAAGTACTTAAAATAAGTAAATTGATGGAGACAGAAAGTAGAATAGAGGTTTCCCTGGGCTGGGAGAGGAGAAGAATGGAGAGATGTTATGGAATGGGAATAGAGCTTCCATTTGGGATGATGAAAAAGGGGTGGAAATAGATACCAGTGATGGTTCCATGATATTGTGAATAAACTTATGCCATAAGACTGTACTTTTTAAAAATGGTTAAATGTCACACATGTACATATATTTATAAAAATAAAAATTAAGTGAAATCATGGCAATTTATTTTAAATGTAGATTCTTGGGGTCCCCTCCCCAATGCCCCCAATCCACCCAGAGATGTTGACTAGATGAGTCTCGAGTAAGTATCCATCTAGGAAGATATATATACTAACAAAAGCCTCAGTTTATTGTTTTGATAAAGGTAAAATTATGAACCATTGCCCCAGAGTAATGGATCTTAATGGATTGTCAAAGGGACCTATAAAATTTGAAACGTGAAAATTCTGAATTATCAGATCCAAATCAGGCCTACTGAGACAGACAATGGGGAATAGGACTCTGAAATCTGTTCTAACGCATCATCAAGGTCATCGTGGGGCAAATGAGAGTTGGAGAACCATCCCCTAGTGAATCCTGGGACCCTTTGTCCTCAGCCATCTATCCAATGAAGAAACTACAAGTCAGGAAATAATCACACTCCTTCCTGACAGGAGATCCAAGGAAGTCTAGAGTGATTCTTCCCAGAGGAAAGGGATCTAGGGGGAGAGAATCACAAATGGTCCCACTGTTAGTCTCCCAGAGGTAAGGAACTGGCAAGACAGAGATGCCTCCCTTGGTGACTCTGCCTCTGAGGAGTCACCTGATCAGGATGTCAGAAACTCATTGATCTATTTGTCTAACAAACTTCAGAGGGGATTCTGCCCCAAGGGCCTGTTAACCTGTAACATATCAACTTATAGTCATCAAGGCTCTCCTGTGCCAAACCTAAGACACTCATGCCTTCTTCAGCAGATACAGCCAGGCCCTGTCCTACATGCCAGGCTCTGAATTCTTGCTATTATGGAGGACAGACCTTCCTTTTTCATCACCCACGTTCCATGAAAGAACAAGATTCACACTGTCAAGCCTTCAGAGCCCAGTAAGTGTTGTAGGAAATAAGAGAAAGGGGTGGTAGAGTGAATTGACTATTGTTAAGTGAATTGATTGTTGTTAAGCACAGGGCAGGGGAAACCCTGTTTTGTCTATGGAGAATGAGCTCTAGAAGTTACTTGCTTGGGAGGGTGAATGGCTAGACTCCTTGTTTGAAGCTACCATTGCATGATGAGATTTTACTTTAGAGATACGTTATTTGGTTACATTGTTGATGGGATTATGGGAATGGGGAGAAAAAGGCTAACCCACCTGTCCCCTCTGACACCAGTGCACTTCCCACAACCACACTGTGTAGACAGTCACTAGTCTTTGGAGTGCAAATGGATGCCACCAGGTGCTGATGGAGCTCTAGGTCCTTTACAGTGAAGATTTGATCCCTTCTTATTCTTTTTCTTTGTTATTCAACCCAAGAGTTCCAGAGCCTCCATCCTCACTTAGCCTAGACAAATCTTTCTCAGTGCTTTGTCAGCCTCACTTATTTGGGAACATCTCATTTCTCAAAGAAGATCTGTCTTTTCTTCTCTCTGCATCCTTATCCATGGTTCTTACTAGGGAGCTTCAAGAAGGAAGGGTATGAAGTCCTTGGTGTCTAGGGCTACAGTGCTTAAAGAGAGATGGCAATAAAAGGATGTATGAAAGTCCAACATCGAATTCCTTATTGACAACTAACCCTTGTCTCTGGGAATTCTGGGAAACACTAGAACCGATATATCCCTTTCTCATAGTTCCCACTGACTACACTTGGATGTCAGGTCTCACCCTTCACAAGGAATATAAAATAATTAGCAAGATCAGAATTATTTTCCACCAGTTTGGCCTTCATTCCTTTTCTTTAAAGCAGGTGACTTGGTTCTCCATCTTTAATGATATAAGAATTCACCAACCTATTTCCTTTGCCCCCAGTTTTGTCTGCTTTAAATCCATCTTTCACTCCAGACACTAGGGAAAATTGTGATACAAAGCATGACCCTCCTTTGGTTGCACTTCCTCCACAGTCTCAAACTTTATCTATTATTCTTTTCAAGTTGCTAAGAATGTGGTCACCTCTTGGTCCTCATTCTCTACTGGCCCAGGACCCCACAATGTGCTTTAGCTTGTGGCTAAAAGCACTCTGACCCAGGCTGTGTCTTGCTCATGGTCTTTCACCTGCTTGCTTCTCTGCCTGGAGAGCCCCTATTCAATAGTCTACCCATGTAACTTCTGCCCAGAGATCTCTTCCTCCAGGATCTCTTCCCTGACTCCATCACTCCAGGCTGCATTTGGGACTCTTCTCAGTACCCCAGTCTCCAGACTGTCTTCATCTTACCATTTAAGTCATTGTATTACAATGACCTGTTTGTGCATCCATCTCTGGAAGGTGGGCTCCCTGAGGTTGATGACCAGACCCAATGGCTGACACTTCACCTGTCCCAAAGGAGCCCTTCTTGCCAAGTGGCTTCCAGAAGTTCTTCAGTGACTGAAAAGCAGCCTAGTTTAATTCTTTACTTTCCAGTATGGCTTAACAAACTTTGCACTACCATGAAACACCAGAAAGACAATAGGACATACTTATTTGGTGCATGAGTAATGAAGAAAGTATAGCTGACACAGGGCTGAATCCTCCCCTTTTGATTCCTAACCTCTGGTCCTAATGTAAAGCATTTCTAATGTGGGGGAAACTTTTTCTTAAGATGACCATTATTATTCATTCCATGACCCTTTAAATCATAGTTCATCTGCTTTTGCACCTCCAGTCTGGACATTATAGAAAAAAATCACTGTGGTTGATTTGAATTCCAACAACCTCAGGACAAACCCTGTAGCCCTCAGACCCCTGGCTTTGTCCATCAGAGCAAGGTGAATTCTCATTAGTCTCTCTCCCTCATTTCCAGTATTTTTCATTGAATATGTTTCACTGGTCTCAGCTTTTATTTGGCACAAGGAAGCAATATTGGACAATGCTAGAAATAAAACCATCTTGTGCCTTTATCAAACACACTAACTACTTAAAGCCAGAAGGTTTGCACGGCCTCTACCTTTCTTCCTCAGAGGTAGCAATATGCACCTGAGATGGTCCAACTTCAGAGGCCAATCCCTTTTTTAACCATTCCTCCAAACAGCAAAAGTCATGAAAAGAATTTTAATACTGGCCTCCATGGTGCTCATGGAAAACACTATGTCCTCCCTTAATGTCCTCAATAGGCTCCTGACTGTGATAAAACACATAACAAACAATTTTTACCATAGGTATATCTAATGGATACAAACAGGGTTACGTTTGTATCCACAGCATCTCACCAACTTAGAACAAAACAATATTGAATTAAAAAATGTTGACAATGTGAATAAAGCAATGTTAACCACACTGAGTGACACAATGTTACTTGAGGACCTGCTGTACTTGTAAGAAGAGAGAAATTGCACCAGGATGTTTCATATCAGCCCAAAAAGGTGAGCATCAAACAAGAGGTGATGCTTAAAGTAGCACTGGGAAGGTGGGGGCAAGGGGCATTGGTCCATGGCCTGCCAACCTCTGGCTCTCCCCTTGCCAGATCCTGGGGGTCCTGGAACCAGAGGGGGGAAAATGAGTGTCTTCTTTCACTCTCCCATTATCTATTGCTCCTGGAATTGGATCATCATGTGCTTGGGGAGAGAGCACAAAGAGGCCACGTCTGCTCATACAGGGATGAGAGTGTTTAGCAGTTTCACATACAAGAAAAAGGACTGCAAATATGAATGTTGAGGGGCTTCCAGGAAGGGAATTAAAAGGTAATGAATGTCCTCATTTATCATCACAGAGAAGTAACCGTGCGACAAGTATCCTCTATGAAATTGTTCATACATGTGTCATTTCCCTGTTCAGTCTCTCAGTCATCTAATCTTCTGTTTGTGCCTCTGGATAATTAG